CCAGCCACATCACCACATGACCACGGAGATGTCTTCAGACAGCGCTGGCTCTTCAGCTTTGAAATGGAGATTAGCACTGCCCCCTAGAGTCGGGAAAAACTAGCACATGTGTGCAAGGGGAACCTTTATGTTTAACTGAAATTCATTGCTCTGAAGTGAGATAAAACAAGGCTTGATTCTCTCTCTCTCTCTCTCTACCTCTCCCCCACCCTGCATTTGTGTGTGTGTAATGTTCCTGAAGAGACATCTCTCTCCCTCACATACACTTATTTTAAAAGCTAAACCTGGCTAGGTCCTTCTATAACTCTTCATGTAACTTAGTTGATTACCCGCATTGCCCCTCCAGGAACCGGTTCTACTCTGTTCCCTCCAGGGCTGTTCCTATAAATACATAAAAACAACAATCTTTAAATTTGAATGCCCGAAGCAAGAATGGTTTATTTATTTTGATTTCAAATGTGAGAACTCATAGAAACCATTGGAAAGCAGGAAATCTTTAACTGCAGGCCAAGACATTTGGAAACAAGGCAATATTCTATGCTGGCAGGGAAAAGGCAGGTGTCAGTGGCTCTCAAACAAGAAGACAGATCTTTCAAAAAGTGGATGGTGAGTAGGCTGCAATATGATTCCCTTTTGGAACTTGTGATGATCTGAGGGAAATAAACAAATTAAAACAATAAGCTGAATGTCAAACAAGACGCACTTTATGTTTCAAGTATAACCTAAAATTTAGGAGTAGTTTCAGATGCTTTAATGTAAAATTCCAAACTTTACAAGTACTTTAAGGAGGACCACCCTTTCAATATGGATTGAAGAGAAAAGCTACATGTGGTAGAAATGCTCTTTTTCTTTAATCCCCAAATACACCCATTGTATCCTATGTCAATTTGCCTCTCTGTCCAATCACTGTAGCATAGTCTTTGCCCAACTAAGCTAGAGGAGTGCTTTGAAATGACTGGGGAAGGTGGGCCTAGAGACCGAGATTGAACTATGAATAGAAGCCCTGGTTTGGTTCCTCTCTACACAGCTTGTGGAATATGAGAGTAAACCACCTTTGCTCTTTCCAAAACAGCCATGTAGAAATTTCCCATACAAATCACCCAAAGTCCTGAAAATCTGAAAAATTGTTCCATGCCTTGGAAACAAGAGACAATAGAAGGTGGTAGACCTTTTCCTATTACTCCCATTGATGTGCTACACAGAGCTCTCATGTTCTTTCATTCTATGGACCTGTTTCTACATAACATGAACTTTTTGTGAAATCATCCCTAAAACATCAAATAGATGTAAACTCCAACCATTCTGTACTGTATATTTGAATGTTAATTTCCCTGATTTTCCTGTTTTGTACATTTCCCCAGGTATATGAATCCCTGTTCCATTTCCTTTTTTTAATTAAGTATATTAAGTATATATTAAGTATTATAAGTATCATTTTACTGCAGAAAAGTATTATAACCTGTGACAAAGTGAAAATATCAGGCAATATAGCTTCACTTTGGTTAAAAATGTACATAAATGGTAAAGGTCAAAG